ATATACAAATATGTGGTGATTTGCAATCTGTATACAAGTGTGCTGTTTGCAATCTCCATATGAATGTGGTGATTTGCAATCTGTATGTATACAAGTGTGCTGTTCACAATCTTCATATGAATATGTGATGGTTTGTAGTCTATGTATACAAGTGTGCTGTTCACAATCTTCATATGAATATGTGGTGGTTTGCAATCTCCATATACATGTGTGGGGCTTCAACAATATGCAAGGTACATTTTCAGTTTAAATAGAGGGGGAGGGGACAAGGGTTATTTTCGTTCAACGTAATTGCAATATTTTTTTGTTCGTACAACGTAAATTGAAAAAATAAATTCCGGAATTCTGTAATCACAGGCTAGACGTACAACGTAATCAATCAAATATTTTTTTCGTACACTGTAAAACTGTCATTTTTCTCGGTACGTACAAGAATTTACATCCAAATAAAATCAAAGAAAGCTTAGAAAGAACTCCCGTGTGCTGAGAGTTTTGGAGACACATTAAAAATTAATTCAAAATTACTTATACTTGAGATATTGATGGAATAGCTGAAAACTAATTATGCAAATAAGGTAACTAAACTAATAAGGTCTGCACAATGTACCAAGTTTCATTGAAATGTGATTAGAACCAAAAAAATATTAATTATTATGCTAATTAGAGAATTAATATGAACAGATTTTAACCCAAAATTAATCAGACTGTCTATTGTCTTAGAGCATTTATGTACTAAGTTTTATTCAAATGTGATGATCAATACTTGAGATATCAGTATTAATTAATTATGTTAATTAGGTGATTAAGAAGCATAAATATTTACCAAAAACTAGTATGGTGCATAGTCTTAGGTTCATTGAAATGTGATGGGTACTTTTTAAAAGTTTCATTGAAATGGAATGAGTGGTTTTTAGACATAGAACAGCAAAAAATTAACTAATTATGCAAATTAGGTAATTAATAGGCACAATTATTTATCCCAAAATTAATCAGGTCTCTGCATAGTCCTAGAATATCTATGTCGCAAGTCTCATTGAAATGTGATGATTAGTACTTGAGATATCAGGTGAAAAGCTGAAAATTAACTAATTATGCTAATAAAGGTGATTAATATGCACAAATATTTACCCAAAAACTAATTAGGTCTCTGCACAGTCCTCAAGTAACTATGTACCAAGTTTCATTGAATCATGATCAT